AAAGTGAGACTCTGTCTCAAAAAAAAAAAAAAAAAAGATGCCGCCTCCTCAAGACACAGAGTGTTCAAACAAGGCCTGGAAAGGGCCCGTTGGCACAAGTTGGACGAGCAGGAGGCTGCGTGGCGGCTTCTCCCAGCCTGTCCGGTGGGCTCTGGCGGCACAGGCTTCCCCGCCGCCGCCAGCCCAGGGCCGAGGTTCCCGGCTGTGTCCGGGCATCGGAACCCACCGGGCGGGCGGGCTTCGCGGCAGTACCTGCCTTCACTCCCAGCTCTGCCTAATGCCGACTTGGTGACAGCCGGGAACGGCAGGTGGCGCCCACCGCTGGGTGAGCCGTCGTGGGCACCCGGCCCTCCCGTCTCTCTGGGAGCCCAGGGTCAGACCGTCCCGACGGCTAGAGCCAGGGAGTGCTGCGTGGGCTGTGCCGTCCCGTGGCCTGTGGCTCCCATCCCCTCCTCCGTGGCTTTGGGTCTGCTCTGGCCGCCTTGCGTGTCCACGCCCCGTTTCTGCCAGGGTTCGAGACTCGGCGGCCGGGCGCAGGGGCTCACCGCCCCACGCCCGGGGAGGGGAGGCTCCCGGGAGCCGTCGTGTGCAGGCAGCACGGAGACACGCACCTGCAGCCGCTGTGGGGACCGGGGGTGGGACGGGCGGGCAGTGGCCGCCCTCGCCTGGCTCGCCCCGCGTCCCAGCCCTGCTCCGAGCACTGTGCACGCGTGTGCTCACGGGGGCCTCGTGGCGTTTTCCTTTCACAGCTGAGCGAGTCACACGAGTCACGTCGTGCCCTGGGAGGCGGCCGAGGGGGGTCTTGCACCCCTCGCTCCTCACCGGGCGGTGGGGCGGCCGCGCCTCTCGGCTGCCTGTGCTCCGGGCGGGGTTGCGGGCGGCTGTCTGTCCGCGGGGAAGCTGGAGGGGGCGGCGGGGTTGTGGGGCCGCTCCTGCCGGGGAGCAGGGCTGGGCCCTGGGGACTCTGTCCACGTCCACACCTCTGCCCCCTCCCCAGCTCGCACGCGGACACCAGGTGGCGCTGTCCTCCATCAGCTACGTGGGCTGCTCCGTGTCCGTGCTCTGCCTGGCGGCCACGCTGGCCACCTTCGCCGTGCTGTCGTGAGTGCCCTCTGCTCTCCCCGCCAGCCCCGGCGGCTCGTGCAGACCCCGGCGCCAGCCCCGCCGGCTGCCTGGCCATGGTGTGGACGCCTGGCCGTGGTGTGGACGCCTGGCCGTGGTGTGGACGCCTGGCCGTGGTGTGGACGCCTGGCGCTGCCCGCGCCCCGCACGTCCCAGCCGGGCGGCTGCTCCCCAGTGACACTTCGGTTTGGGATCTGGGGTGCGGGGGGCCGAGGGGCTGCTGGGGGGACTAGAGAATGGGGGGACAGGGCTGTGGAGTTGGGGGGCACCAGGCTTCAGCTGAGCTGGAAGGGTCCGGAAGGGCCCCGGCCAGGCACACGGGGAGTTCTGCAGGGAGGAGCTGGGCCCGGACGTCCCTTCCTGCCGTGGCCTCAGCAAGCCCCGAGCCCGCGTGGGGTCGGCCCAGGACCCCGAGAGCATGCCCGGGTGGGGGCTGGGCAGCAACAGAAGCGCAGCCGTCTTCGCAGTTGGAGTGGGGGGGGCAGGGCCAGGAGGTCTCTGTGAGGGGCGGCGTTTGAGCTGCGACGCAGAGACCCGGGCAGACAGACGGCTCACCATGGCGGGTAAACAGCTGCGAGGCCGGAGTGAGCCGGGGACTGGCGAGAAACAGGCAGGGCACGGTGAGCGGGAAAGTAGAGTCGGGTCAGAGCAGCTGGCAGGCTGGGCAGGCTCTGGAAGGAGCTGGGGCCGTACCCTGGGGCAGTAGGGAGCCAGCGAGGGTTCACCGCAGGGAGTGACAGTGACAGCACGTGGGAGGGGCTGTGGAGACCCCCCGGCTGCTGCTGGAGGAGGGCCATGGTGGGGGCCGCGGTGGGGGCCGTGGTGGGCGCTGGCCTCACACCTGCCCCCGCCCCCAGCTCCGTGAGCACCATCAGGAACCAGCGGTACCACATCCACGCCAACCTGTCCTGTGCGGTGCTGCTGGCCCAGGTGCTGCTGCTCGCCAGCTTCCGCCTCGAGCCGGGCACGGTGGGTCGCCCAGCCCCGTCCCCCAACGCCCTTCCCGTTACGCGGGATTCCTCGTCCCCTGGCGGGGGGTGGGGTCATTCAAAACGCAGATCTTGGTTCGGGAGTGCTGTGTGGGGCCCGGCGTCACGCGTGTCCATCCATGGGGGGACCATGACGCTGCCCGTGCAGGCCCACCCCAGGACCCACCCCGGACCCAGGCGTGCACAATCCCAGACGGTGGCCCCGGGGGGCCAGGAGAGCACCTGCCTCCCAGGGCCCTGTGTCTAAAGGCCCCAGGAGTTGGAGGCAGGGAGGCCGGGACCCCAGGCAAGGCGGGCGCGCACCCCGGCGCCCTCTCACCTCCCGTGTCTCCGGCTGACCCTAGACGCTGTGCCGGGTGATGGCGGCGCTGCTGCACTACTTCTTCCTCAGCTCCTTCGCCTGGATGCTGGTGGAGGGGCTGCACCTGTACAGCATGGTGATCAAGGTCTTCGGGTCCGAGGACAGCAAGCATCTCTACTACTACGGGATCGGATGGGGTAGGTGGGGCGCCAGGGCTGGGCAGGGGACGGGCAGGCGGGGAGGGGACGGGGCAGGTGAGGACGGGGCAGGTTGCAGATGGGACTTCCTCTTCACGTTGTCCTTCTTGGGGTCTCCTGGAGGCCAAGAGGGGAAGCAGCACCCACTGGCCAATCAAAGGCAAAAATCCCACAGCATTTGGAAACGATTCCAACGTTTCTGACTTGGTTTATGACTTTCAGTGGTCTTTCCAAACAACCAAATTTTGGTTTTATTGATTTTCTCTATTATTTCTATTATCTATTTCGTTGCTCTCTGTTTTAATCTTCATTTTTTCCTTCTTTCTGCTTATTTTAGCTTTAGTTTGGTTTTTCCTTTCTGGTGTTTTGAAGTGCAAATTGAGGTTACTGAGTGGGCAGATCCTTCCTTTTTTTAATGTGGGCCTGTGTGGGTATAATATTTTACATCTACAATCCTGCGCCTTTGGCCTGCATCCTGTTATTCTTCATTTGTGTGTCTCCGTTTTCATGCCATCTCAGAAGTATTTCCTAATTTCTTTTTTGATTTTTTTTTATGTGCACTATATCTACTTTATAAGGTGTTGTTTGTTTCCCCACAGTTGGAAATTTCCAATTTTGTTTTTTTTTCTGTTACTAATGCCTCCATTTCCAATTTCCCATTGGTGGAAAGACACTACTTTTATGTGATTCGCGGTCATTTCAAATGTG